GTAGAGATTTCCAACATGACATATAGAATTAAGGGAAATTGGACTCTATATTACTCATTGACTCTATATTTAATTAGCTAACATCAAATAAAATAAAATTTAGTAAGTAATATTTCAATTACATAAGGTTCCAAGTTTACCCTTAATGTAGTTATGGTAAGTAATCTCATATCTTATTTTCATTATTATCTCATTTAATACATTTTTTTCCATATCAATTTCTTCTCTTTTATGTCATAAAATGATTAAAAATAAATAATATTCTTAGTTTTTGCATTATTAGAAAAAAAAAACCAACATCATAAACGTATAAACTTGTTGAAAAAAAAAACATATAAACTTTTTATTCCTATTAATCCCTTATATATTAATTGGGGAGCAAAATTTGGAGAGAGCTTAGGTGTCATCACCAAATTCATTCTCACAATTTTAATATGACATGACATTGTAAAAAATATGACATGGCATTCACACCAAATTCTCCAAAAAATCTCTTAAAAAAATCGTGAAGACCAAACCAAACTTCTTCAATTGATTAATTTTTCTTAATTAAAATCGTGATAAATATTTTTATCATACTTCAATATATTTAATATACTTAAACCAAACTTGAAATAAAATCAGATAAATATATTTAACTCCAAAAAATCGGAGCAAACCAAACCTCTTCAATTGATTAATTTTTCTTAACCAATATCGTGATAAATATATTTATCATATTTAAACCAAACTTGAATTAAAATCGGATAAATATATAACTCCAAAAAAATCGAAGCAATAAAATATAGAGCCAATTATAAGAAGTTTAAATTATAAAATCGAATATTCAAACAGATATTCGAAACAAAAGACATTTCGGGGTAAAGATCTGAGCCACACTTGGTAAACCGCAACAAGCTGTTGAAAAGAACCTCAAGAAGGAAGTTTTGAGCAAACGGTATAGTTTGATAGATCAAGATCAGGACTACACTGAACCATTGACTCTAACTCATAAGAACCTTCTGGTTTGGTTCGTAGGAGCTGGTTTGTGTGAAGTTGCCAGAAGGATTGCAAAAAGTTTGCAAGTGTTGACGTTGAGACATAATTTGGTGAGAAAACAGAGAGAAGACAAAGAAGTAAAACAGAGGAGCCAGTTAGTGTAATTTTGATTCTTGCCATTTTTATTTGGTGTTGTGTTCTATATGAGACAAAACAAAACAGAGGAGTTAGATACTTTATAGTAGAAAGAAAAGAGTTTTGATTTGTTGTTGATTTATTCAGAATAATATCCAAATAATGATGTTGTGCTGATTCAGAGTAAGAATATGTAAAATTATTATTGTTTTCATCAATGATTGATAGTCTTTACCAAGACTAAATCGTAAAGTTGATGCATCTGTTTAATTAATGTCTGAAGCATTACAGAGACTTAGTCCTACAATTTGGAAGACAGAGTTTGATGATGTAAAGAGAAAAGAATGGCTTGAAGTGCATGAACATTAGGACAAGTGATGCTAGAATGTCAGTTTCACGGGGTTTCTGATAAGACTCTTGCAACGGAACACTCAAGCTCATCGGAGACAGATGCAGTCATGTTTTCGTAGCGTTGTACCAAAAGTTGTCCTTTAAGAATGATCAGGTATGGTTTGAGAAACAGATAACAACGGTGTTGAAAGTTCGCGAGTGAACCTTACATGAATTCGTTAAGTGTTAAAACAAGAGAGAAAACGATTGAGACGAATATCCTTTTGGAAATTGTTCATAAGGTTTTGATTATAATCCTTTCTGAACCGGTTAACAATTTTGACCTTTCATTTCATTATAGACCTCTTTTTTTATTATCAAATTCCAATTTTATTGATCAATCCATAATCAACATTATTATTATTTTGGAACCATATCAACATTTTTGGGGATCTAGATCTTAAGAATATAACTCATCATCACACAGATTGAAATACAACAAATTAGTACAAATCAGTTTTTATAATCCATAAATCATCAAATTTGATCACATATCCACAAATGCAAACACCAAAGCTCTCACTGTAACAACAATTCTATCAATATATTTCGTTTCCTGCCACATAACAAAATTTAAAACAAAAATTAGAGCCAACCTTATAAACAATATGTTCTAATTAGATGCATAACAGAATGATTATGATTCAAAGTTTCGTATTTTCGAAAATGATGTATGCTTTAAAAATATAAGGATATTAAAGTTATTAATTTATAAAGATTATCTATTAACATTTCGTGATCATTGTAATATACATATGATCAAAATCTCTAACCTTTTTATAGCGGTTGCCTCTGCGGTTAAGAAGGAGGCGGTGCTGAGGATAACGAAACAGAGGTTCTATACCTCACAAGACATTTTGGAGTAAAGATCTGAGCCGAGCTTGGTGAACCGCAACAAGTTGAAACTCTTAAGAACGCATCCCTGAGGCAAACGGTACAGCTTGATAGATCAAGATCAGGAGTACACTGAACCATTGACTCTAACTCATACGAACCTTCCAATTCAGTCACACGTTCTTGTTCCTTGACGAAATACGGAATCAAAGAGGACGAAGACACTTTGAGAATCAGTTGCTCGAATTTATCGGATAGTGTTTGATTGAACCGATTCTGGTTTGGAGCCGGACGAGCAGAGAAAAGAACGGTGCGCGGTACGGTTTCCAATTCAGAGAAGAAGTTAACATTTGAATATCGAACCATACACTCTTGGTAGTATATGACCGCTCTTTTGTTGAGACTACAGCTTGTAGCGATCTGGATTGTTGCGGCTTGGACACACTCTGAGCAAGATTTAGTGTCCATGTCTCCTCTGCAGAGGAACATGCCATAGACTGTGTCGGGGATAAGACCGATCGTGGTGTTGATGTAGGGTACGAGAGATGAAGTTATACTGAGAGTGGAGAGTGTTAGAAAGCGGTTTGTATCGAACGGACTGGTTTGAGTGAAGTTTTCGATAGGATTACAAAAAGTTTGCATGTGTTGAGGTTGAGACATGGTTTGGTGAGAAAACAAAGAGAAGAAAAAGAAGTAAAACAGTGGAGCAGTGAATGTAATTATGATTCTTGCCATTTTTGTCTGTGTGTTCTTTGTTGTTGTGTTCTATATGAGACAGAACAAAACAGGGATTTATAGTAGAAAGAAAAGAGCTTTTTTTTTTGTTGATTCATTCAAAAATATATCCAAATAATAATGTTATTACCAAATCAGAGGAAGAATGTGTAAAAACCATTACAATCACAGATGATTTCATCAACTTTAGTACTATCATTACCAAGACAAAATCATAACATTGACAAAGTTGTTTAGGTAGTATCTGAGGGAAAACAGAACAGGAAGAAATAAATTAGTAGAAAGAAAATAAACTTTTTTGTTGATTTATTCAAAATAATATCCAAATAATAATGTTGTATAAGAAAAAAAGTAAAACAGAGACTTAGTCCTACCATTAGTGCAGAGCAAGAAGAATTACTGCAGATTCATTGCGGCGAATGGGAGAAGAATGAAACCCTGAACATGATAGGCTTGAATTGCTGGGGTTGTAACTTGAATAATAATGTTATACAAATTCAGAGGAAGAATATGTAAAGCTATTATTGTTTTCATCAATGATAAGCATCTTTACTAAGAAACTTCATAAGTTGACGCATTCACACGCTGTGCATCCGGATGCTAGAATGTCAGTTTCATGGGGTTTCTGAATTCTGATAAGACTCTGGCAAAGGAACACGCAAGCTTATGGGAGACAAATGAGAAGAAGCAAGTAATGTAGTGGAGCATGATGCAATAAAAGCTTGGAAATAGGGTACCGAAACCATCGAAAGCCGCATTACTTTGACAAAGCACCTAGATGCAGTCATGTTTTCCTTGTATTGTACCAAAAGTTGTTCTTTTATAATGATCAGGTATGGTTTGAGAAGCAAATACAAGGTGTTGTGAATTAGCGACTGAACTTTAGATGAATTCGTAATGGGGTAAACAAGAGAGGAAATGATTAGGTTTATAAACTTTTGTTTATAATCATTTATAATCATTTGGGAGTTTTACTAAAACAATCTAGGAAGTTTGGTTTTTAACTAAAATGATGCTCTTTTTTTAATAATACTCAAACAACCTTGAAATTTTTTTTAACCACGTTTGACCCTTATTTCCTTTGAACTTATAAGACTCTGGCAAATGAACACTCAAGCTTATGGGAGACAAATGAGAAGCAAGTAATGTAGTGGAGCATGATGCAAAAAAAAGCTTGGAAATAGGGTACCGAAACTGTAACACCCCTGACCTGGATTAGGTCAACGTTGACCCGATTGGCCGCGCAACAATTAAACAAGAACATGCGCAACCAACCGTAAACCCGGAACCAGACCAAAGATGCTACCTATGTGACTAAACCGTTCGTTTTGAGGTTCTAGAAACACATTCAAGAACCCTAGACTAAACGCCCAAGCACACATTTTCCTATCGAACATAACCCAAGGTTTTTCAACCCGAGTTATGAGCGATAGTTGGTTCGTCCTGGACTAGGATTAGTATCATATGCAACCCACATTTAAACAAATTTTC